AGGTCACAGTTCTTTCAGACTATCTGGATTGAAAGTCTGGGTTCAAAGCAGAGGTATACTAAAAGTACTAGAAATATGCTGTAAAGTTAGTACTGAGATCTGGGTGAACTCTATAAAGGTAGCCTATGTTAGTGTTCTAAAAGTAAATAAATAGTTAACAATAGAGGCTTCCTGTGTCTTACTGGCAGGTAACATACTCTGAAATGTGTAATGGCCTAGGAACCAGTACAAAAAGGATAAGTAACCATACTGCTCAGACAGTATACTGAGTAGGTATATACAAGAAGTCAAATCACTTTGTATTTTGTTAAGTCTTGTGTAAATTTTTGTATAGAATCTGTTAAGTTATAGTCATTATACTATAGTTGAGCAGCTTCTGTTATTACTGTGATTAAAGAAAAAACCACAGATTAACACTATATACATTCCTGATGTAATTAATTCTTCTTTTGGTATCATTTGATTTTTTTTATTATTTATGTTTTCTACTACTATTAAATGTTAACTTATATAATTTATTTCTTTTGCCTATTTTTCTATACCAGTTGGGTCTTTAAAATCTATTTTAATTATTACATTATATATTTTTCTTAGCATTATTATTTTTATTAAGTCTGTTTTCTATAATGTTACTGTAACTATATCTTTCATATTAAAGTAGTTGTTTTTATTTGCTAGTTTTTGTTCTAACTTTTTACTATTTATAAGCTTTAATATTGCTTCTACCTTTTTACTTATTAACTTTAGTATTATAGACTCTTCTAGTTTTATTTGCATTGACATTTGACTATATTTGTATAACTATTTCTAGATTATTTCTATTACATATACTTTGTAATATTTATATGTCAATTCTGTTTATTTTTGTATATGTTTGTTTATTTGTTTTCTTATATACTCACATGCTTTAAAATAATCTACAATTCTAAATTGATACTGTTTCTCTAAATTGTTTTTTTTTGGTTTTTGGTTTATCAAGTTTGTTTTCTTTTTATTTGTTATGTCTTTTATTTTTTCTTGTTGTTATACTTGTTAGATCTGTTTTAAGTACTCTTTTTTTTTGTATAAATCTCTAACTATTGTTTTAATACTGGTTTTTGTATAAAATTCAGTTTTCTTTTTTTGTAAATTTGTATTTTAATGATCAGCAAGAAGAGTTGATTACAATAATTTTTTATTATCAATTAAAAAAATTAATATAATAAGATTTTTATATTTGATTATAAATTTAGTTATTAATATTAAGAAATATATATATATATATATATTTTTTTTGTTAAAGGTCATACTTGTGGTAATACTTTATTGACTTTATATTGGGTTAGCTATTACAACTATTTTTACAGAGATGAGATTACAGCTAGTCATACATGCAACTTTTGGTTGCCTATTTAAGTAGTCCACCCTAAGGTTCTACACTAGATGCTATACCTATAATCTACTAGGAGGTTATCTATTTAAACCCTCTGATCATCCGCCCTGTCATATTGAATATTAAGAAATATTTAAATAACAATTTATAAAATTATTTTAATAGGTAAGGGAAGAGTGCCTAATTTGACATAGTGTCCAATTTGACATACTGCCAATATCTTATGATCTAGTGATCATAATCACATGATTCTGGCACCATTTGACTTGTTTCAATGAGATGAGCCAAATGGTATCAGAACTATGTGATTATGACCACTGGGTCATGAGATATTTTTATTTAACTGAAATTCTTTGCCCAGGCCCTTAAGAGAGTAAAAGTAATAATTAAATAACTGATTGTAATACCAAATAAATTAGACTTTGTGCATTATAAAGTTATTTATATTAATCATTCCTATGTATATTTGTTAATTTTTGTGCAATTTCGATGAATTTATATTGATAATGCCTAATATAATGACGCATATCTATATTATTAATTCAGATAGTCATTCAAAATGCTACATATCGTTACCACTATGATTTCTTCTCATAATTATGCCTTGTAATACAATTTTCTTTAGTATAAATAAAATTATAATTCATGAATACAATTATGATTCGCATGAAAAAAAAAATTATGTAGTTTGAATATTATTGCTCCAATATTAATACAGTTACAAAACGAAAAGTAATAATATTTGAAATAGTTTATTCCTCAATTTTACAATAAAACTATATCAAGATACAGTGATTATATTACCTGACACATTGCCATTAATAATGCCCTTAAGGCTGTTAAAAACCCTTCAACTAATCAAACTCCAAGCACCAGAAGTATTGCACAAGCCTATGGTTTTTTAGAAACTATCCTCAGATGTGCAATCAAAAATGATGGTCCTCTTAGTCACCTGGGCCATGCTAAAATTTTAACAGATCATGAAGAAAGACAGCTCATCAGTTACTGTTTGAACATGCAGAAACTTGGCTTTGGGTCAACCAGATCTGGTGTAAGCCAGTGTGTGATGGATATTGTTAGTCGAGGCAGATGAACCAACCCTTTTAATGAAAATGGTTCAGGTAAAAAATGGTAGTGACACTTTATAAAGGACTATCTGGAATTGTTATTTCATATGCTACAAGCCCTAAATAAAGCCTGCGCACAAAAAGCAAACCCTATTATTGTTAATGATCACTTTAACAAACTTCAAAAGATAATTCAAGAGTATTCACTTACCTCTGACAAAATTTGAAACATGGTGCATTTTTTTTTTTTTTTTTTATTTTTTTTTTTTTGCTTGATTTTAATTTTTTTTTAATCATGAATTTTTTTTTTTTTTTCAGAATGAAACAGGCTTTGTCATTGAACCTCAGCTTCAAAAAGTCATAGCTAAAAAGGGTGCCCATCAAGTCCATCAAGTTTCAAATAGTGGTTCTTATGAACATATTTCCATATGTCCTACCATCTCAGCTGCTGGAACTTACATCCCACCATTGATTATTTATAAGAAAAAGCAAATGATCTTAGGCCTTCTAGATGGTGTTCCTGCTGGTTCTGTCATGGAGTTTACTGAAACGGGTTATATGCGAGAAAGCCTGTTTCAAAAAACATTAAACATTTTAATACTTCTATTCCTCCCGCTCGTCCCATTTTACTTATTATGGATGGCCACAAAAGTCATGTCAATTACATTAGTGTTAACTTTTGTTCTGAAAATAATATTCTTCTTTACACCCTTTCTTCTCATATTACTCACATTTTACAGCCAGCCAAATTACCATTTATTATATTGAAAAGAGCATATACTAAGAAGTATAATAGGTTTAGAATTAATAATGATAATAAGCATGTGACTAAACACACATTCACTCAGGTTTTAGGACCATTCTACATTGCAACCTACACACCAACTGCAATATGCAATGCCTTTAAAATTATGAGAATTTGGCTCTTTAACCCTAGTGCTATTAGCCCTGACCATCTAGATCCCTCGTTGTCAACAGAACAAACCTATATTTCAGAAATTCTTGAGCAACCAACTTCTTCATCTTCACAATCTTCTTCGTCTTCACAACCTTTATCTTCATAATTATCTTTGAAGTTAGTTCAAAGTCATACTCCTTTCATCAAAATAAATCCTATATAGGAAGTATTAATGTCAGAGATTATGTTGCTAAATCAAAAAGTTGAACAATTAGAAGAAGAGCTTGAAATCTTTAAAAACTCTGGTACAAGTTCTTTGTAGCAAATACTCAAGTATTCTTTGTATCATAATCCGAAACCAACTGAAGACCCAGAAGCCGATAAAGAACAAAAAGGATTCCAACTACCAAAACGAAAAAAAAGGAAAACTATACCCTTTGCTTAGTTAGTCACAAATGAAAGATCATTGCAGCAGTTGAGGGAAGCAAAAAAAGAGGCAAAACAAAAAGCCAATAAGAAAAGACAAAAAATGAAATGCATCTCCAAAAAAAATTAGCTCATGAAGCTAAAAAGGCGCAAAAACAAGAAGTATAAAGAAAAAAAAAAGAGGATACAGAATGTGTAAGAGCAGAAAAGCAACATATTAAGGATATGAAACATCTTAAAAAGGGAAAAATGTAAAGTCATCTAATTTGTTCACAGTGCATCAAATTAGGTTATTCATCTGATAATCTCGATTTTCAATAGAGTTTACATTTAAGAATAAAGTTTTGTTACTTTATGCTTAAATAACTAGTTTTTTTTGAATAAACATTTATTTTAGATCGATCTGTGTTGAATTTAGTAAAAACTTGTTTGTTTTATGTTGATTTTACAGAACTTTACTATTGGAAAAAATTAATTGCGTCAAATTAGACACTCTTTCCTTATATTATATTTATAAATTATTATTATTTTTTTTTTTTAATTAAGATTTTATATATAAGATTTTTGAGATTAAAATTAAACTAACAAGAGTTTACTTAAAATAGTATTTGATTAAATGAAGAATGATTTTGAATTTTGTAAATAAATTCATATAATTGACTAGTAGATAAATTAAGGTCTATTTTAAATAAAATGTACTAATTGATAGTTAATAATATTTATAATAAAAAATAAATTAAACCAAATTAGATAATATAAATAGCAGTTAGAAAAATTGTATTAAAAACAGTTGACATTTATAAGAATAGTTAGATAAATATTTTAAAGAAAAAAATATATTAATAATTAATTTAACAAAACTTTAATTTTGAAAACTTTAGATTAGTTAAATTTAAAACTAGTAAAATTAAATAAAAGTTTTTAATTATGATTAAAGTATAACTATATAAATTACCAATCTATATAGTGATTAATATAAATATATTTATTGTTTTTTTTATAAAAACTATATTGCTATTATGTATACTTTATAGATATTTTAATAAAATATTTGATAAAAAACTTGATAAAATTTTGTTCACATTATAGAATATGAAAAAAATTGTAAATATTTATATATTTAAAAATTTAGAAACAAAAAAAAATATGTCATTTTGCTAAAAAATCAACCATATTATTAAAAATATCATTTGTATAAACTTTGTAAAAATTGATATTTAGATTAAAAAATTTAATATTAAGAAATATATACTATAAAAACTATATGTAAAATTTAAAAAATTTGTTAAAGTTATTAAGTTGAGTAAAAAGTTTGTAAAATTTAAAAATAACAAATTATGAGTCAGTATAAATTTAAAGTGTTGCATTACAAAATACAATTAAGATTGCTGATAAAATAAAGAAAAGTTCTGCCTTATAAGCTTATAACCAAATATGAAATTTAGCTGAGAATTTGTAAAGAACTTTGTTGTCACTGCTGTCTTGAACCCATCTAATGCCCATTGAACATGAATTTCATTATATGGCATACCAAATTTTGATACCCGTCCTATGTAATCAACATCAGTTTTTACATTAAAAGCCAGTTAATAATATTTAGGTTTTATGTTACGTACGCCTAAATTATAATTTTCTTATCCAAATTATAAATTCATGTGAAGCTATTAACCTACCCAAAAGTGATGCTTAATATCTAATTACAACTAGTTCCCAAGTTAATTTGAACAGTTTTGATTTGAGTGTATTCCTTCAACGCATATTTGCCCATTTCACGACCAATTCCAGATTTTTTGTATCCTCCGAATGGACTGTATATGAAATTAAATATAGTTGGCAATAACGATAATAGTACAACAGGGTGAGACTCGCTATTTAAACGCGCCATGTAGATCACATGAGGGTGAAATCCGAAAAAAAATCATGTTAACACGAATTTCATCCTAACGTGATAATCTAAGCGAGTTTTACTAGAATTTGACCCTGTTCTACAATAATTATTACCGAAAAATTTTACTTACAGACTGCTATCACCTGTCATGTATTGATTCACTAGTCATAAGATCAAAAAAAAAAATTTTTTTTAATTCAATAAATTGTACGAACTTATTGACTTGTAAAATTTTGAAACAAACCCCAAACCGTTCCAGCCTTAATTTCATTAGAAAGTTTCAGAGCTTTGGTTATGTTGTTAGTAAATACGGCAGCAGCCAATCCATATTTTGTCAAATTGGCTTTTGCGATTACTTAATCGATAGGTTTAAATTTAGCAATGCAAGTAACAGGGCCAAAAACTTCATCCTTCATAATGGTCATGTTTTCATTCTACGTTTCGTTAACAAAAAAGGAATAGATTGGTACTCGTGAAATTTAAGTCAAGAAATGATGATTTTGTACTTACTACATCGGTGAAAATCGTTGGTTTTATATAGAAACCTTGTTCACCGAATCTTTCACCACCCATAAGCAAGGTGGCACCTTCTTCCTTACCGGTCTTGATATAAAACATAATCCTAAATACAAATATTCATATATTTGTAAAATGGTATCGTAATCACAACATAATTAATTTTAAAAATACCTGTCAAATTGTTTTTTAGATATTTGAGGCCCTTGATAAGTTTTACTTTCAAACGGATCGCCAATTTTAATAGCTTCAGTATTTGCTTTAAATTTCTTGAGAAATTCATCATAAACACGTTCCTCAACGTAAATACGGGCAGCAGCACAACAACTTTGACCGTGATTAAAAAAACTTCCGTTATGAGTATATTTAACCGCAGTGTCTAGGTTGGAATCAGCAAATATGATACTTGGTGACTTTCCTCCTAATTCTAACAGAACCTTTTTCAAGTTGCTTTCAGCTGCAGCCTTCAGGATAGACTTCCCTACTTCAGTAAAACCTATTTAAAAATACACACGTATAAGAGTGAACAAAGTACAAAGCACAGCAGATTAAGTTTTTAAATAATAATATCATATCAATGTTCATGTGGTTAGCCATAACGGTTCCCGTTGTACCAAAACCGGAAAGAACATTAATAACGCCTTTAGGAAAACCTGCTTCTCTACATAATTCAGCAACTTTTAAAGAGCTCAAAGGAGTTTGTTCGGCAGTTTTGAGGACAACAGTGTTACCTATCAAAATATATTAATAAAATATATTTCATTAATACAAATAATAAAGAATTATTAAATTATTAACGTTAAGAATAATTGATATTTACCACAAGCTAAGGCTGGTGCAATTTTATTGGCCATAAGGCAAATAGGAAAGTTCCAGGGAACAATTGCGCCACGAACACCAAGTGGTTCATGCCGAGTATAGCAAAAAATTTATTAATTTGGGTTTCAATTACCTTTCAAAAGTACAGTATTGAAAAGTTAAATACTTCTAAGCCTAAATATTCATTTCACAACAAAGCCACAACCTTGCCATGAATCTTGTCACACCAGCCGGCGAAATATCGATAACAGCTAATGGCTTCTGGAAGATCAACCATCTTTGTGATGCTAAAGGTTTTCCCATTGTCCAGAGTTTCCAGATCAGCGAGTTTATTCAATAGTCTACCACGTTCTTTTCCATCGACATAGCACCAAATATTGTAAAATGCTTTGGTAGCAGCCTCTACTGCTAAATCAACATCTCTTGAAGAAGCTTCTGCTACAATAGCAATTACCTTTTCAGTAGTCGGGTCGATGGTCCCGAAATGCTTACTATCGACTGAATCGACGAAGTCATTGTCTATGAAAAGACCAGTCTGGACTATTTATTTGGAGAAAAAAAAACACTAAATTTTTTGCACGATTGAACACGATAGTAAGGTTTATAAGGAAAGGTTACTTTTAATAGTCTTGCCGGTCGGCAAAATAAGTGTTTGTTCGTTAGAACCACCCATTTGGTACGAAAATTACATCGTTCACATAAAGTCTTATTTATGCTTAACTTTCGTCATAAATCACAACATTGTTGTAACATGTAAGCTAAATTGATGTCAAAATTTTGTAATTACTTAGCATCATTTTTTTATAAATGTCATTATTTTTTATGCATAATTTCGATCTACTCATTTAGAGACATACGCCTTGCACATGAAAATCCTATACGTATTATATTTATCATTTACTATATTTGTTAACAATGAACTTCACATTACTAACAAGTATTACACTTTCAATTTTTAATACGTACAGTGCATATCGATATCAATATATGTACGTACGTACGTAAATGAAGCCAATAAAAAAAGGTAAAGAGTTTATCAGAAACGTACAAATTAGATACTTTTTGTTTTATTTAGATATAAAAAAAAAACATCAGGTATAATGCCGTCGGGCGGAATTGAACCACCGACCTCCAGTTTACAAGACTGGCGCAATGCCACTATGCTACGACGGCAACATCAATATGTCTGACCTCATATGACTTCAATTAAATATTTTTATATTAACGTTTTAACACCAAAAAGGAAAGGTTATAAACTTAGACTATTAAGGGCTCCTTCCCATTTTATAGTGATTGATAACATAAAATTGACTTGATTAGCACAAATTCACCACACAAGTACATATGTACGTGCGTACATACGTACAAAAGATGTGTTCATCGATGAACTTGCTAAAAAAAAATCGAAAACTACAATTAATGTGCAGATCCATTAGCAAATCAAAAAACCAGAAACAACATGTAAGTGTATTTGCAACTTTACAAAATCATAGTATATATTAAGCATTGCTGTATATAATGAAAAAAGTCAAATTACTAATTTTAAAAAAATCAATACATCAAGAAGTTTTTATTCAAAGTTATATACTTTGAAAAATTAACAATTTTTATTTTTAATATAAGGCCGTTTGTATAAGTGGCTAATATTGTTCCCCTTCTCTGTTAATAGTCATCCCGAAATTAAACAATCGCAATCTAAACTTCATTGATCATGTGATTAAAGTTAACCAATGAAACGACCCTAGCGTCACTCACAAAAATGGTAGCCGGACAGATCTGCGTGATTGGGGATGGATTCGGTCACGAACGG